GCTGCAGGAGCTGCAGCTGAGGTGAGCAGGAGGCGAGGCCCCGGGCCTTGGCCCAGCACGCAGGGGAAGTGGCCCAGACCCAACAGGATCTGCGGGAGGCTGCGAGATGGACTCCGCAGTCAAGGCTGCATTTATCGCTTTGGTCCCGAGCTCTCTGCGGGCTGGTCCCTGGATGGCCTAAGTCCTGCTGTTACATCGGCTGCGTGGGAACGACGGGTCCCTGTGTCAGAGGCAGATCTTTGCTAGGAGCTGAGACAGGCGACAAGGGCAACGAAGGGGCTGGGGGGTCCCATGCAGAGGCAGAGGGGCAAGGCAGTGTTCGGCTGGAGATGAGGGCGTAACAGCGGGTTCCTGAACAGCAGCACTGATTTTAGACTCTAAGTGTCAGGAAAAAAGCTCGCTCCCTGCAAGATCAGCAGGCAGCACAGCCCCAGAGCCAGCAGCGTCCCCTTTGCTACGGATTTGTGAGCAGAGGCTGGACAAGCGTCCGGGTGCAGGCAGGATCTGTGCCTCGGTGCAGGGCTGGGGTGAGACCCCCCTTGAGGGCTCCTCCAGCCTGTGGGTCAGGGCTTCCTGGGCTTCCCCAATAACCTCCTGCTTGCAGAGAGGGGAGGAGGCCAAGCCCCTTCCTGGTGCAGCGTGGGCAGGATGTGCCTGGTAACTGCAGGTCCTTTTATTAAACCCTTTATGAATCCGTGGTGCAGCCACAGCTCGAGTGTGGCACCCAGCTGTTTCCCCGCACCCCCAGGAGGAGAGAGGAGAGCTGGAGCAGGCACAGAGACAGGCAGCAAGGATGAGGAGCGCTGCGGAGGGGCTTCCGTAGGAGACTTGTGAGGCCAGGCCTGGGCAGGACAAGAGTTTTCAGCAAAGAGGAAGTCACTAGGGATTTATTATGTACTGTCTTTCGCAATACAAGAGCAAGGGGTCACAGCACGGAGCTAGGAGGCAGTACGAAGCGAGCACCAGGCTGCTTTCTCCCCGCATGGCATTAAAATGGGTGCTTGCGGCCACCAGGCGCGGTGGGAGCTGAGAGCTTGGCCAGATACACCCAGGGCCTGGACACGGGCTTGGAGGAAAGGGGCGTTGGAAGTGAGGGGCACAGCCTCTGCGTCGGACCAGCCTGGACCTTCAGTGCTGGAGGCTGCGCGGGGGAGAGGAGCAGGGGAAAACACTGTTCAGACCCAGTCACTCTCTGTTCAGCCTCTGCTCCCTGCCCCCGTGTGACACTGGAGACTGGGCACGACGCACCTGGGTCTGACCCAGCCCACGGCTGCTCTTCTGTTCTTCTTCCAGGCTGTCGGAGGCTGAGCACCTGCGCAGCAGCACGAAGCAGGACCTGCGGCAGGCGGAGGAGCAGCTGCAGGAGGAGCGAGACCGGCGCCTGGCTGTGGAGGACGCGCTCTGTGCTGCACAGGATCAGATCCGGAGGTGAGAGCCTCAATCCCTTGCCCTCACCCAGCACCAGCTGCACTCAGAGGCAGGAAGTCATCATGGCCTTTCCTTGGAGTCGGGGTTCAAGGGCTGCCTTGTGCACCCAGCCCTGCAAGCCCCTGCCTGGAGTCCAGATGGGAGGTTGTTGCCATGGGCAGGCAGGAGACCTCCAGAGCCTGCCTGGGACCCTGAGCCCTTGCCTGTTTGAAAGTGCCCGGCCTTACAGCAGAAGCCCAATTCCACAGAGCAGCAGGCATCCGTCTCCCCCCTGCCCCCAGGCAGGAGGTGAAGGGTGCAGTGGATGCTGCCTTCATCCCTCACTGATGAGCCCCGGCTTGGCCCCGGCTCCGGCAAGCATTGGCTGTACTTGGAGGAGCCGGACGCAGCTGGGCCAAGCCTTGAAGGTTTAACCCTGACACTGGGAAGCGGAGCAGACGTGGGCAGCCAGGGGTTGGCATTCTTGAAACCCCAGACTGCTGCAGCCATGGCCCCAGGCCAGGGGGAAAGTCTGAGGGCATCCGCAGGGCTGCGCAGGGCGGGCACTCTGTCCTGGGGGCAAAGACGGCATGGGCCGAGTGTCATAAGTGGTGTTGGGGTAGAGGAGCCTGGCACCCGTGGTGGGAGCAAGAGGCAGCTCCAGGGGTTTTGTCAATCTCCGCCACATCCCAGGGACCTCCCATGCCAGCCTAGCTTGACGACATCTCTGTTTCCTGCAGGCTAGAGTCAGGGGAGTGGGCGTCCACCCTGAGTCACGGCATCGACATGTCCCCTGCCCATGAGCACGCCCTGCTTCTGGACCCTGCCGAGGGCAGCTTCAGCAAGGTGAGAGCCCTCAAGCCGGCACCCAGGGCCTGCACGCAGGAGTCCATGTGGCTCTCGAAGGGGAGGCAGCAGCTGACCACAGAGGGGTCCAGCCGGCTGGGTGAGCCCAGCCCTGGGGTGACAGGCTGGTCCTTGCTCTGGGGCCAGATGGCTGAGAGCTGCAGGCACCATGTGCTAGCCACCTGTTGCCTGGCACCTTACTGTGGCCACAGCTGGGCCATTCCCATGTTTGTGGCCTTGACAGTGCGACCTACCAGCCCCCGTGCCTGGATAGCCATGACTGCAGAGGCCAGCATCTGCGTGCAGCCTGAAGGAGGACTGACCTCTGACGGTGCCTGGGCCGAGCCCCTTTGCCTCCTTGTGCTAGGCCTGAAGGGGCCGAAACACGGCTTTGTGGGGCTCCGGGGGTGCCGTGGCCCCTGCCGCCCCACACACGGTTCCTTCAGGAGGAGGCTACGGGGCTGGTGTTTGCTGACCCCAGCCCACCTTCCCAGGAAGGGGAGAGAGGGCGAGGGGGCAACACAACCAGGGACGGGGTGGGCTGGGCTGGACTGGTCGCAGGCAGAGCCCTCTGAGCTGCGTCTGCCTGTAGCTCCTCGGGGCTCGACGGAGGGGCCTGGAGCTGGCAGCAGGGACCTCAGACGAGCGCACTGTGGACCAGATGCATCTGCACCCGCAGGAATAGTTCCTGCTGGTGCTCAGTGCAGCCCCTCAAGACTCTTAACAGCATCACTCTCTCCCTCCCCCAGACTCGGGGCAGCTCCGGGCAGCGGCGCTTGCTGCGCTCCCTCTTCTGCTCGCGGACGCGCTTGCCGCTGCTGGTGGCCACGTACCTGCTCACACTGCACGTCCTGCTGCTCCTGTGCTTCACCGGTCACCTGTGAACTGGGCCACCCTCCCTGTCCCGCCAAGGGCCGTCTGCCCCTGCCTCCCACCCGAAGCCTGGAGCCACGGGGTGGGGCCGACCTGCCACTTCCACTGGATCCAGCCACGGTCACGCTGCAGGGGGGTCCCCACAGGAAACACCCCCAGGTGTCTGAGCCCCCGGCACTTCTTTAACCCCTGCATTGCTGGCTCTGCCGAAGCCCTGCCCCTCGGCCATCGACACCAGAAGGAGCTTGGGCTGTCAAGTTGTGCTGCTTTCAGGGTGCAGAGGCGGCTCCAGCACCCACCCATGGACATACAGCTTGGGGCAACAGAGCCAACCTCAGGGGACGGTGGATTAAACCAGCCAGGACCTGGTTCACATCTGCCGTGGGCTGGTTTCACCCTGGCGCTGTGGTGCCTGCAGCCAGATGTGGGCAGTCCCGGCAGCCGGGCATGAGGTTGGGCAGTCGCTCAGGGTAGGAGACTTGGGAGCCAGAGATTTCTTGTGTAGTCACCTCGCTGTTCACCAGGCCCATGTCCCTCCTGCTCTCTCCTCAGGCTTTGGGGTTGGTGGGGGGAACCAATCCCCTGGAGAGGCCAGTAGGCAGCGGGGACTCTTCCTTCTCCTAGTAGCCAGGCCCCAGCTAGCCCCCGAGTGCTGGCGGAGCCTGCCACCCCTGTGCCTCCTCCGTGTACAATAAAGGCAGTTTCTCAGAGCTGGGTGCTTCTCATCTGGGTGTGAATGAGGCTTGGGCCCATGGGGGGGATCACCCGGCCTGGATGCATGGTGGTTCCTGGGGAAGGGACCAGGCGGCCATGGTGCTGGCTGGCAGCTGTGACCAGCAGCTTGGTACCTGCACCCATCCTGTGCAGCAAATACCATCTACTGCACTGTTACCCGGTCGGCTTCTTGATGTCCCACCCCGTAGCGCCCGGGGCTGGGGAGTTGGGGACAGGGCCCCCACCAAACGCCAGGCCTGGAGCCTTGTTGGAGAGGCGCTTCGATGGAGTGGGTGAGTTCATCAATGCATCAGACGTGCCCCAGTGCCATTCGCTCCTGAGCACAGGCAGGTTGTAGCGTGACCTCTTTGGGCACGGGTGCTCTCGTCTTTCCAAGGCTCCCACCGTCCTTCTGAGGTCCATGTCCAAAGCCTTTGCCCCCTTCGCTTCACGTCACGCTGCCCAGTGCTTGGCCTCCGGCCTTCACTGCTGCAAGCCTGGCCTCACTCCTGTAATCCAGCCCCTCTGCTCAATAAGCAGGTCGTTTCCCCTCCTTACCTGGGCATCTATGTGGGGGATGGAGGGCCTCAGCTCGGGGGTATCCACCTTGCTCCTGACTTGGTTTCTCCTCATTCAAACTGGGCAGCTGCTCCGCGCCTGCACCAGCGCTGCCCTACCTGGGGGAAGCATTTGAACCGCCCGCGCCCAGTGCTGCAGGTGGGAGGTTCAAATCGAAGACTGTCAAGGCAGCCCGGCCATCCTGGGTCCCTGAGCTTTAGCCGATGAGACCTGCTTCAAGCCAGGCTCTTCTTGGCTACTTTGCTAATAGGGCCGGCCTGGTCTTGTGCCCTGCAGTGGATGCACCGGATGCCGTCTTCACTGCTGACAGTTGTCTTATGTGGGGTTTAAATGATGGTTTGTCTGGGCTGGGATGGTTTGTCAAAACCCAGGCCAGCGGCTCCTGCGGCCCGCCCCTCCCTGGCCGGAGGATCGTGGCCCCCCGGCAGCACCCGGCCCTTCCTGGGGCCAGACCATGTCAGCCCCATTTGAGGCCACAGCATGCACCCATGAACCAATGGCAGCTTGTGGGGTGCTGGCATCTCCAGGGGTGGGCTCAGCCCCAGGCAGTGGTGGTGGCCACAATCCCTGCACTCAGGGCCCATCTCAACCACGGCTCGTGGATGGGTTTGCAGGTGACTAACGAGTTCCCCCCCCACCCTCAAGCCACAGCTGTGCACAGAAGCCGCAGGTCCAGGCCAGGCATCTCCCCCCATCCTCCGCTCTCCCCTGCTTCGCCCCAAAACTGGCTGCACGTGGGGGACAGTGCAGCACCGCAGGAGTCCGTCGGCCGCTCGACGAGGGCTCGGTGGCAGGAAGTGAAGCTGTGTAGAGCTAAAACAGGAACCTCGCAGGGAGGCCCAGCCCCAGCCACCGGCAGGTGCCTCGGCAGACAGCAGCGGGTGACGCAGCCGCCAAGGTAGGAGCCTCAAGGGGGCTCGGGGTGGGGAAAGGAGCAGGCCTGCAGGAGTGCGTCCCCTCGCCCCCCCCAGGGGTCATTCCCTGCCCAGATGTTCCGCCCACGTCCCCTGCACAGCTGCTCCCTGGTACCGTCCCTGAGCCCTCAGGCTGCCGCGTGTGGCAGGGCCCCAGCCAAGCTGCAGCACCCAGCGGGGTTGGTGCAAACGGGGCTAGATGCTGCCTGCTTTTGGGGTGCTGGGTCTGTACCGCGCTCCCTATGCCCAGCGTGACGGGTCGGGCTCTGCTCCACTACGGGCCCTGGGACTCCAGGCTGCAAGTGGGGAGAGCTGCGTTTTCCATAGCTGAGATCCCCCAGGGATTGAGCATGAAGCCCCCAGCAATGTGTGTGGGGTCAGGCTGGGGGCTCCGTGTCCAGCCGTGGGCAGGGTGCTCAGCCAGGCCCAGCTCTACTGGATATTAGAGGCCCGGTCTAGGTGAGCTGCCCTAATGTAGACGCAGCCCAGCCGCCTGCAACAGACCGGCTCAGTCCCCCCTGCTTCCCTGTGTCCCCAAGTGGCAGCTTGCGCTCGGAGACCTGCTTCGCGTTGCATGGCACGTTCCCTGCGTGGCCTGGGGTCTGGCAGCTGGGGGCAGGTCAGGGACTGGCATCCAGGCCTGATGGGGCTGGAGGGATCCTCAAGGCCCTTTAGTCAGCACTGAGCAAACAGACCCTCAGATGTGGACCCCGGAGCCCCCGTGCTCCCGGCACCCAGCGTCCCACCGCCCCTCGGGCCCCGCGCCTGGCCCGAGCAACGAGAAGCCGTGGCATCTGCACGGCTTGGTTCTGCCGTCCGACCTTCCCCCTGCCCCAGCCCCTTCCCCAAGCAGCGCCGAAGCCAGTGCAGATGAGCTGCTGCCTGTAGGCCTCAGGCTTTCAGTTCGCAGTTGCTGGCGCTTCCCCTTCCCCGTTTCTGGGCCTGGAGCTCCCCCCCCGCCTGGTTCCTGTTTGGGCCACGAGTGCTGTCAGCTGGGCCGGATGCTGTCAGGAGCTCGTCCCTTGCAGAAGATCTGGGGGGAAGTCACAGATGACTCCCCCATGAGCTGGGGCAGGGGTCTTCTCCCCTCCAGCCAGGAGTTATCAGGGGTCCACAGGCCCATGCTGCTGGGGGGATGCAATGGCTTGGCCCCTCCTGCAGCTGTAGTCACCATGAGGCCATGCAAACCCCTGGGGGCTCCTGCCCCTGCTCCGTCCTTCCAGCCCTGGGAGGGCAGATGACATGCTTCCACAGGCCACTGCCAGCCCACGAGCCTTATGTTTGCCCCCCAACCTTGCCTGCCCCGGGGGTCACCCCCAGGCAGGAGTGGTGATGCCTGGCAGGGCTGGGTGGAGAGGAGCTAGCTGGGTGAACCTTCATCCCTGGGGCAGCGGGAGGAAGATCCCATGTGGGCAGTGGGGTCCTGGGGGCTATGCCAGGCAGGTCAGATACCTGCCAGCTCCAGGAGCCACGTTGCAGCCCACAGCGTGAACACAAAGCTCTTGGGAGGCCTACGGGGGGTCGTTACCCATGATGCCACACTCTCCCTGTGCAGATGTGGAAGTCCGTTGTGGGACGTGATGTGTCGGTAAAGGTGGAGGCGCAAGGAGACGACTGGGACACCGACCCTGACTTCGTGGTGAGCCACCGGTGCCCAGAGCTGGGCTGGGGTCGGACTCTGGGCAGGTCTGGGGTCCTGGTGGGGCAGGGTGGGGGGCAGGGTGTTTCCAGAGGACCTGAGAGGTGGCAACACAGGGCCCAGGCTAACCCCAGTGCAGAACACGTTGGTCTTGTGCTCCTGTGGGATGTCACCTGTGAGCCGCAGCAGACACACGGCAGTTATCCCGGGGTAGCCGCGTGCAGCAGGCACTGTCTCCAGACCCCCAGGATCTGGCAGGGATGCAGGGAGCAGCCACGTGGCTTGGCAGGACCCATGCTTTTAGACAGATGCCCCTGCCCCAAGGGATATTACACCCGTGCATTTGCATGAAGGGGCTTGGCCCGGGGTAGTGCCACATGGCAGCACATGCTCCATCCCGCTGCAAGGTGAGCCACGGCCCAGGCAGTTACCCTGGGGTAACTGGGTGCCCTTCCCGGGCCAGGGGAGCCGGTCCAGTCCCAGGAGCTGGGGGAGCTCCCAAACTCTCCCGGCTCTGCCTCCGGTCTGCGCCATGCCCGAGGCAGCCGGTTGGCCTCTCACAGCCACGGGCTTGTTTTGCAGAACGACATCTCAGAGAAGGAACAGCGCTGGGGGGCCAAGACCATCGAGGGCTCGGGGCGCACCGAGCACATCAAGTGAGTCCCCCAGTCGACTCAGGCCAAGGGTCATCACCTGCAAGGCGCCTCTCCCCAACCGTGGCGTGGCAGCCAGGGGCGTGGGGCGGGCACCATCCTGCCTGGCTGCTTCTGGACACCGCCTCTTGTCCAGGCCCAGGGCATGGGGGGTTGCGCCTTGCAGGGGTCCGGGGTGCCAATGACCCTGGCGGGGCGGATGGGGCAACCGGCCCCCTGGGCCAGCCGGGTGCTGGTGGGGAAGAGCAGTACGGGTACAAGCGAGCTGTTGCCAAGGTGACGGCTCGTTGCAGGAAGAGGAAGCGGTGGCAGCGCCGCAAGCCGAAATCGGCCAAATAAGGAGTTTTGCAACCCAGCTGCACTGGCGGCGGGGGGGAAGGGAGGGGAGGGCTGGGGCGGCACGAAGGAGCCTCTTGTCCGTCACTGTCTCCCCACCCTGGGTTTCCCCAGGAGCTGCTGGGGGCCATGGGGTTGCACCCAGCTCGGCCCTTGGCCCATGTCTCCAGCCCAAACCCCAGCGTCGGTGCAGATGCTGCAGCCTGCAGGGAGCAAAAGCACCGGGAGGGCACGAATGGCTCAAAGGCAGCACCCCAGTGCAGCCCCGGGGGAGAGGGGGTCCTGACTTCCTCTGCCCTCCAGGACATGAGGCCCAGGGCCAGGAGCTGGCGGCAGGTCAGGGATGTCCCCCAGCAGCGCCAGGCCGCGGGCATGCAGGGCAGGCGGCCGCGCAGCGCCCTGGCAGCGGGTCTGGGTGGGCAGCGCCACAGACTCTGCTCCGTGGGGTGGTTTGGGGCCTGCGAGCCTGGCAGGGGTTTGCCCTGACCCCCGGCATCTCTCCAGCATCCACCAGCTGCGCAGCAAAGTGTCGCAGGAGCATGAGGTCCTCAAGAAAAAGGAGCTGGACACGGGGCCCAAGGCCTCCTACGGCTACGGGGGCAAGTTCGGCACGGAGCGGGACAGGATGGACAAGGTAAGGGCAGCGGGTGGCTCGCTACACCTCTCCCTGGCCCTGTCTGCCTGTCTCTGTCTGTCTGGCAGGAGCAGGAGACCAGCAAGCTACCTGGGGGCACGAGGCGACAGAGGCCGGCTCCTTCCCCGGGTTCAAGGCCAGGCCAGCTGCCTGGTCTGACCCAGCCATGGAGCTTCACCCAGGTTTGGCCGGGGAGGCTTGGAGATGCGGAAACATGCCCTTGCCTGTGTGTTCCCTTGCCGTGACGAAGGAGTCGTCTTCCCAGGATGCATCCTATGGTTTCAGTCTCCAGCCCCTGGCTCTTGTCCTTCATTAACACCTGGGGCGCGCTAACGAAGGCCAGTCTTGCTCCTCATTCTGACCAAGTAAATAGTCCGAGCTCCTTGCCCCGCCCTCTCTTGCTTCCAGGTGCTTTCTCCTTCCTGTGCCAAGGTAGCCATTCTCCCCCACCCCAGGCCTGGCCTGTGCAGCTTCCCCCACGTGTCCCTGGGTGCTGTTGGCCCTTCGTGCTCTGGCACCGTGCTGCGTGCTTGCGGTGAGGTGCTGGTCACAGCCCTTGGAGCCATCTCAGAGTTGCTCTGTCCAGATCCAGCCCCTGTCCAGGAAGGGATGTCTGTAGGCCCTCTTCCCAGAGCCACGGTCCCTGACGTCTCCTGGCCCAAGGACAACAGCGCTGAGCAAACCGCCCACTGCTGGGAATATCATAGGAACATAAGAGATGCCAAACTGGGTAGTCCATGGGCCTGTCTAGCTCAGTGGTGGATATCTCCACCCTCTGCCATACCCTCCCTGGCCTCTACCCACCATGAGTGGTTTAGAGATGCCGGAGGATATGTCCCCAGCTGTTGTTTCCTAGGTATGAAAGGATCGGTCACCCCTGAATGTATCCAGTCCCCCTTTGAACCCCGTGATGCTGTCTGCCTCTCCCGCCTCCTGTGGCAAGGAGTTCCACAAGTTAACAATACGCTGACTATAAAAGTACTGTCTCTTGTTAGTTTTAAGCCCGTCTCCTGCTCAGTTCGGGGTGTGCCCCCTTGTTCTAGTATTCTAGGACTTGGGGAATAATAGTCCTCTCTTTGCTTTGCCCATGTCCTGTGGGATTTTATGGCCCCGCCTCTCTTCCTGGCCAAGGGGAAGATTACAAAGCCTATCCAGGATGATCTGCCCCCTGCTCTCTTCCCTCACCACTTCCTGCATTCAGAGGCCTGGGAAGTCCTAATTTATAGGCTGCAGCCATCACGGTCATGGCTAGTACCCACCTTGCTTGAATTTGTCCGATCTTCTTCGGCACCAAATTAAACTGTCATCCTCCGTCATCTCATAGCATCACAGTATCACACTCGGCTCCTCCTGGTTCCCTCCATTTGCTGCGGCCACAAGCGGTGTTCTAGAGTTTCACTGGTGACACATCACCCACAGGCCATTAATTGGGGACCTCTGCCCAAGGTGTATAATTTTAGCATCATAGGGACCTGGAAGGTCACCTGGTCCAACTCTCGTGCAAATGCAGTAAAGATACTCCCAGATCCCCCCCCGTCTAATGCTTCTCCAGCCTCCTCTTGAAAATGAAAGGCGATCCTACCACTGCCCTGGGCCGTCTGTCCCACTGCCTCCATGGTGAAGATTATCCTAAGATTGAAGCTAAGCCTACTTTGCTGCACTTCAAAGCTACGGCTTCACATCTTGCCCTCTGTAGTGAAGGAGAACAGTTGTCCTCCTTCTTTCTGGCAGCCTCTCAGAGGGTCAAAGACTGCTGCGTGCATCCAGAGAGCTGAAGCCTTCCTGCGTGGGCATGTGAAAGTGTGTTTTCCCCCAACAGACCCAGCTCACTGGGTGATTGGGGTTGCTCCAACCCCCTCTGCCTTCACCCCTCTTTGTGCCACCTGCAAGTGTTGGCACGCTGAACAGGTGCATGCAAGCATCTTCCACCCACAGCAAGTCCTACGGCAATGGGTGAATGGCGATGAGGCAAGTGCTAGTGATTACTTGGGAGCCCCTGCATAGAGGTGATGACAACGACGGTCACTTTGTGCTTGGAGCTGACCGGTGTGCTATTCAGTAGCCACTGTCGCACCGGAGCAGGGTCCCCTCTGCTCACCCTGTCTGGGGACAGGGCTAGAAAAGGGGCCTTAAAGTCTCGTCTCACCTGACTGGAAAACTACACCCAGTGGGATCACTGTCTCTGTGGCCCAGACCAAGTCCCCCAGGTAGTGATGTTAATACCTCATTTCTTCAGTGCTCCTTTCCACAGCTCAAGCGCTGCCCACTCCTGCGCTGAAATTGCCAAGAATGATCGTCTTTGGGGACAGATGGCAAGACTCGTCTGAGTTCAGATTACGGTTCTTCTTCTGTTTTGCCATCTGCATCCAGGGTCAGGGCGCATGCACCAGCCGCTGTGTCATGTCGTCTGTGGGGCAGTGGGAGGCGAAGGGTCGTGAGACATTCATCGATGCCAAGCAGATGTCCCGGCCTCTAAGTACCCGTCTTGGTCCTGATAGCAAACCCAACACTGGGGCTGTGTCTTTTTTGGCTTTTCCTTTCCAAAAACAAGAGCCACCAGCATGCTCTGTGAGCTGCCCCTCTCCTGAGTAAGGGCAACAATATCGATGGCATTTTGTGCACGTTCCGTGGCCGTGAGCGCTGTCCTTGGCTCTGGCCAGTCGCTGTCAGGGTTGTCCATCAGTGCAAATGTTACAGGTTTTCAACTTCGCCTCAAAGCTGAAAGCTTTGGAGGTCTTTGGAAAAGCCTCTGTATCAACCGTAAGGACAAAATAACGAGTACCAGCACTCCAGCTCAAGCGAACACCATGAACACGAAGCCGTGTTTATATGGCACCAGCTCCATTACATCCAATAAGGATTCCTGACAACTGGCCCCGAAATAGTTCCTATGCTCCCGACTCATCCAACGCTAGACCCGTTCCCGGGCAGTTTCAGTCTGGGCCAACGTGCCTGTAGCTTTAGCAGCATTGTTAACTCACCAAGTTTTAATCCATTTAACCTGCACTCCCTTGATATCCTTCAGCAAAAATTGTTTTAACCGGAGGATCGCGCCCCACCAAGCTGTCACGTCCGCCCCGTTACCTGTCTTGCTCGTGCTCAGGGTCTCATCTAAGAGTGTCTCAGGCCTGTTTGAAAACAATTTCCCACGAGCACACGTCGGCTGGCAGGCGTTTTGTTTCCATTCTTTAATTCTTCAGCAGTTTAATTGTGTCCCCCCCCTTCATTGTTTTCCCTGGCATTGATGCCAGGCTGATCCGGGTTGTCTCGCCAGCTTGGCTGCGTGTCGGCTCCGAGCGCTCGCCCAGCTTCCAGGACGCCTCGAGTCTCGTTAAACGTCCCCACCGGGCGCCAGGGACTTCCCCAGTCAGCTCCGCTAGGTCTCCTGGGGCCAGTGGCACGGGGCTGCTGGTGTTTAACAGGCCGTCCCGCGGGCCGCGCTTCCAGCTCCTTGGGGGCTGGAAAGTGTCTCGTCGCTCTTGTGAGACAGCTGGGCACAGCCCGCTGCTTTCCAGGGAAAACGCAGGATTGCTTTGAACCGTTCTGCTGTTTCTGCATCACTAAAAGTCTGTTGTTCCCCCCACGAGGAAAGGGCCTGTGCCACTGGGATTTGTCCTGAATATACCTATGGAAACCTCCTCCTTATGGACCCATCCGGTGCAATTTGCTGTAGCTTCCTACACTGTAACCCCACCGATTGCAGCAATTGCTATCCGTGCCCCTTGCCCCACCACTTCTCACATGTTCCTGTTTGACTTTGACCAGCTGCTTTCTCTTTCCCATCGGGTCAAGACAGGCTTTAGATAACACCATCCTCCTCCGCGACTGTGGGGTCACGGCGTTCGGGGCATCACGTGAGCTCTTCTTAAAGACTCAGCTGTTCTCATTTATATTTTTCTCTGTTCCCCCTCCCTGCGCATTTTGCCCATCGTTTCACTCAGTTTTAGCAAACTAGCTTTCCGGGAGCACCGATGGCACGTGCTACCGTCCTGCCTTTATTGTGTGTAGTCAGGTGCTGGGCACCAGGCTGCTGCCGGTGACTTGTTTGTCACCCATCCTAACGAGGTCCAAACTTGGACTGCCCGTGTTGACCGCAGGACTCTGGCATTAGCAGACCATTGCCGTGGCTGGGGGCTGGGGGCTGTGGTGCTCTCGCCCTCCCTGGCCTGGGCTGGGCCCGTGGCTAGATGCTAGAGCCAGGCCGCGGCAATGGAGAGGGCGCAGGGTGGTGTCTGCCCTACCTCGGGCACTGGGCAGGGGAGACGGATGAAGTCGGGGTGCTGGCCTGCTTGGAGGGGGCATTAGGTTGGCTCATGAACCTACCAGGAAGCAGTGCCCTGATGCTGGGGCAGGGGCTGGATGAGACCCCCGCATGAGGTCGGACCCAAGGGAGCTGCCCAGAACCTTTACCCCACGTGTATCAGAGTGGAGCTGGGGTCCAGACACAGTCGTGGGCCAGTCAGGGATGGTGTGTGGCCAACCCCAGCCCGGCCTGCTCTCTCCATCCCTGTCTGTGTGTCCCTCCGGGCATAGCTGTCTGTCTGCTCGGTGTGACGCTGCCCTCCTCGATCCCCCCAGAGCGCTCTGGGCCATGAGTACGTGGCGGAGGTAGAAAAGCATTCATCTCAGACCGATGCAGCCAAAGGCTTTGGGGGCAAATACGGCGTCCAGAAAGACCGTGCGGACAAGGTAGGACGGGCAGGGTGCTGCGTGGGTCGTGGCTCCATGATGGGGGGGGGGGGGGGGACATGAT